TTGTTTTGGTTTGGCCACCCCTAACTTTCTTCCAACCTTCTGCACCACGAAACATTGCTCATCGAGGAAGGAACACCTCAGCTGATGCAGTTTCAATCATTCATCTATTGATGTGCCATCCTTACTTAGTACTCGATTCCTAACTATAACATTTCTTACTCGTTTGTCCCAGGATATACGAGCAATGCTTCGAAGATATCTATAATCGAAAACTATTAACCTACTTTTACCTGCCATGCTTTGTGTTAGTATATTCGTCCAATATCCTAAGAGAATTATTGGTCAGTTCCCATTGGTTAATTCCTACTGGTCAATGTCGCGTGCTCCAATATTGTTTATCATTGGTTGTCCTGACTATCAATGTCACTTCAAATGTTGCTTCCTATTGGTCGTCTTAACTGTCAATGTCACAGACTTCGTTGCTGTTTCCTATTCGACCAAAATGTATAAATACGCATTATCTGCAACGTTTTATGACCAGGACCCGGTCCCGGATCCGTAGTCTGGGATCCTGATTCTCTTCTGGACTCGGACCTCGTACTTTCTGGATGCTTGTAGAATACAAGTTCTACTTCATATCAAGCCTTGTCTTATTTTTACTCAATTTGGGGGTTGGGATAATCGGATTCGGGGTAGCATGTCGTGTTCGCCGGATCCTCGATCCTCGCTCTTGTTTTCCGACTCGGTAAACTCGTAATAGTTCAAGTATATCAAGTTGACGTCTTTACATGCAGGCGTAACACTTTGCATCCATATAGTAAGATGAAGCAAACTGCTGCACGGTACACTCATCCTTTGGTTAGAAAACAGTTCTCATCTGGTTGTATGTGTGTATGCGTGTATCTTACTGAATGTTTGAAAAATATAATAACGTGGTCTTGGTTGTTCTTCTTCTTGGTTTTGAGTGGCAAATTATGTAGGTGTACAGTAGTGGCTGGCTAGTCGTCCAGGTAGAATAGTAGAATAGTCAAGTGTTTCCATGCTTATTTGTATTCCTTTGTAAAAGATCATTTACGGATGATCGGTTTGTTTTCTCTTTTAGAAATGACGTCACATGTTTGTGATAGTTTTCTCGGTCAAGTTTGATCAATAATAATTAGATATGTGTTGTACTTTAAGACATTTCTAATGATTATTAAAATGTGGTTTTCTCATTTTGAGCTAGTAGTAGTAGTAGTGTGGTGCGAGCTACTTATAAGTAGTATATGACGTGAGTGTCAACGTAATGTCTGGCAGCAGAAGATGGGGGAAAATCAAGAAAGGAAGAGTGGGGACACAATGGAATTTGTATGAAACGCATGAATAGTGACAATGGATTGATGTTTATTAACAGGAACAGTCCAGTTCGATATGATGGACTGATATTTTGCAAATTAACCGTTTACGATATGGTTTTCCGATTTTACTGAGTAACTCTGTAATTTGCGATAAATACAATTCAGTTGCCCTCACCTGTGTTCTCGTTCACTGCAGTAGTAGTAGTAGAATAATCACAAGAGAATAGTTGGTTAGCGATTATGTTTTTACAGTAAGGTGCCATGGGTTCGTTAACCCCATATACTCAACCTTCCTCCTTTATTTGGGCTGGGAACCGGCCGTAATCGCAGAACAAGTGCCAGATGCAGTTGAAAAGAAAAACCACTAAACTCACAAGTCAAAATATATATGAGATCATTTTAAAATCCGAATTCTTAGCAAAGATGAATAGTTAGTATATTTGTAGTGCTGTGCTCAATTATGGACTGTCATTCAACATATCCAATTGCGCGGACCACTTGAATCGGATAGTTTGTAACTGCAAAACATGGTTTTACTCCGACGGTTGTGATACTGCATTTTAGTTTGGATATGCTTAACTTGCTTTTAGCTTCGTGTTATATTGAAAAATGTCATACAACAAGGTTGGGCACAATATCTCAATGGCAGTCAGCTACATCGTAGAACTTCGTACGTACGTACGTACATCTCTCAGTTCAAGTTGCTGTAACACATTAGTACAGTTAGGCAATTGTCAATTCATATCCGATAGTGGTCGAGGTAGCTGAAGTATGAATAGTAATCAGAAAGATTAGGATAGTATGTGTCAACTACCCGATTGGGGTCCGCGAGCCAATCTTAACCAACGGTTAGAGACCCTGAATGACATAGCTCGAAATCGTTTTCAATGACGCAGGTGCATTCACTTTTTGTGTTCTCCAAAACTTCTAACCTTGTGAATTCCTCATGACCTTCATCTTTCTCTTCTCACTTTTATTTCATAAGATTCTACGACCTGAATAACATCTTGAAACCCTAAAATTTCCGATTATTGCTAATGCTTCTTCTACTACGTCTTACTACTATGGGATTTAAATTGACACTGTGATCTCTCTGTATGCTAATGTAGTATGGCAACTTGAACTGAGATATACGTACGTACATACGAAGTTCTACGTTGTAGCTGACTGACTGACAGTTTCCATTTAAAACCAATATATTTGCTACCATACATTTTAATGATAAACTGAAATTCTGTTTCTCGAATTTTCATACCTTGAAAGTCTTAATTTTTCCCATGAAGAATCAGTGTTTCTTTTATTATTTCATTGAACATCTGGCCACACACGAGATAGCTGTTTGTTTGTCCTACGTAGTCTAGAACTCATCAGCAGTACGTGTCCACCAACTGGATCGGATTTGGCTATATACGGCGATTGTAATTGTGCACATTGTCATTCATTGATGACTGGTACACACTAGGTCAGACGAAGCAGTCATCCAGTATTGTTGGGGACGTTAGATCCCCAGAACTCACTTGATAAAGGTCCTAATTTTGGATTTTTTGTGTTTTCGCGCATGGGCTGATCAGTTGACCTTGAGATTACATTTCCCACCGGGAAAATCCTCGACTGTCATTGGTTGATGTGTTATTTTAGTAGGCTATTTATGTGGCACCCCCAAGGACTATTCTGTCATGTATAAATAAACTCGATTTGTGTACTTGAGATGATCATATTTTCTGGGTGCTTGTAGAATACACTTTTTACGTCTTGTCAAGACTTATTACTCTACTTAGTGTGACCTTGAGACTCTTAGATTAGAGTAGCCTATCGTGTCACTGGATCATTTGTCATCGCTCTAGTTTACCGACTCTAAGGTGAACTCATAATAGCATTCAAGCATATCAACTGACGAGCATAACAAGTATGTTCAGTGTGTTCTAATCAATAAGACGCTGACAAAATGCAGGTTGGAAGAAAGCTAGAGGCGGCCAAACCAAAACATGGCAGAAATCCATGAAATAATTGACGAATGGACTTAGCCATGTCGGTAGTTGTCGACTACCTGGTTGGGGACCGCGAGATGATAGTAATGGATGGTTGAAAACCCTGAATGACATGTCTCGAAACCGTTTGCAACGGCGCCGGTGCATTTATTCTCTCTGTTCTCTCAAATCCTAATCTTCTGGATTCTTCAACACTTTCTAAACTTATCTCATTGAATCATACTTTTTGAATAATATCTTCTAATCCTAACCTCTTCGATTCCTTCTAATACCTTGACTACCTCTACTACTACTATTGGATTTGAATTCACAATTACATCTCTGTGCTAAAGTGATATGGCAACATGAACCGTGATGTACGCACGCACGTACAAAGTTCTACGTTGCATCTGACTCTGACTCTCCAATCAATCGTGTGTCATATTGATCAGTTTATCAATTCTAATCAAATTTTACATTAGTCACAACTCCAATCAACTAACCAATTATTATTATCATTATTCTAGGGTATGGTATTATTAGCACCAGAAATGAAACCGAAAGCATGTATTGAATTTATAGCGGAAGTTTTGATTTTACATCATCCAACCACTATTTCCGTGGGTTATCAAGCTATGGTACATGCTGGACCAGTAAGACAAACTGCAACAATTTTGAAATTATATTCACATGAACATTTACGTACGGGGGATAAAGATATGGTTGTATTTCGTTTTATTAAATCACCAGAATATTTATACACTGGGTTGCGTTTAATATTTCGTGAAGGTAAAACAAAAGCTGTGGGTAAGTACAAAAGAAAAAATAATCATTGGTATATTTGTTTACAAGTGTGTGTTACTTACTTACTTACGCCTGTTACCCTCCAATGAAGTATAGGTCACTGACCAGCTTTCTCGAATCCACTCTCTTCTGAACCTTCCCGTCCAATTCTACCCAATCGCTGTTCATTCTCTTCATGTTTACTTCCAATTCTCGACTTGTTATGTTCCTTGGTCTTCCTTATTTCCCGTTGACCTTGAGGATTCCAAGTGACAGGCTTGTCTTGTGACACAGTTGAGTCTTTTCGTCACTGTGTATCCTATTCAGCTTACTTACTTACTTACTTACTTACTTATTTGCTTACTTACTTATTACTTACTTGCTTACTTACTTACTTACCTATTTACTTACTTACCTACTTACTTATTTACTAACTTACTTACTTGCTTACTTATGCAATTACTTTCTTAATTACCTATTTACTTACTTACTCACTTACTTACTTAGTTATGCACTTACTTACTTACTTACTTGCCTATCTACTTACTTACCTACTTCCTTACTTGCTTACTTATGCAATTACTTACTTACTTACCTATTTACTTACTTACCTACTTACTTACTTACTTATGCACTTACTTACTTGCTTACTTATGCAATTACTTACTTACCTACCTATTTACTTGCTTACCTACTTACTTACTTACTTATGTGCTTACGTATGCAAGTACTTACTTACTGCTTACTTGCTTAATTACTTACTTACTTGCTTACATACTTACTTACCCTAACTTACTACTTACCTACTTACTTATGCACTTACTTACTCACTACTTACCTACTTACTTACTTAATTACTCACTTACTTACTTGCTTACTTGTTTACTTACTTACTAACTTACTTATGCAGTTACTTGCTTACTCACTTACTTACTTATGCCTATTACCCTCCAATGGGGCATAGGCTGCTGACCAGCAGCATTCGTTTTATAAAATCACCAGAATATTTATGTACTGGATTACGTTTAATATTTCGTGAAGGTAAAACAAAAGCTGTGGGTAAGTACAAGAAAAAAGGAAAAATAATCATTGGTATATTTGTTTACAAGTATGTGTTATACTTTTATAATCATTCTATTAGTTAGTAGTGCGTATGCTCTATGTAATATGAACGCTTGTCTTTGAATGATAGTGTTAGCGGGACATAGATGGATTTAGAGCATGATTATGTCACTGCGCGCTGATTGGCTAATTTCCTACCCAATCAGCGCCTGATCGAAGCTTGGAGAACAGGATAGAAAATTCTCGTCTTATTAGCTGCATGCTGATTGGTCAAACCCAGTCCAGTCGATCACGTGAATTTTGTTCCAGAAGTTTTCTCATGTAAAGGCTATAAATAGACTAGCATTGTATTTATCTTCGCCTTCAAGCCTTCTAGCCTTCTTCGCTTTCAAGCCTTTTTGCCTTGGCTTTCGCCATCACCTCCAGCTTCTTTTCCTTGCTATTTTGGAATACAATCCTTCCTGTTCAACCGTGTTCTGATTTGGGTTACTTGTCCAGTGTTTTTGTGTAAAGAATACTAAGCAATAAGATTTAGCCGGGAAATATCGTGAGTAACC